CTACACAGACTGCAGGAGACAGACGATAGTGTCCAAACTAATGTAATCTCTTAAGAGGGTTTTTGGAACTGAAAACTCATGTCACCTTTAAAGCTACTCATTTTAAATGATAAGCTCCTCTGACAGGCATCTATTTCTTTATATCTTTTAAGCAGTGCTGTAGTTTTATCAGTACACATCAAAGTTCATGTTCAATTTAATTCTGGGAAGGCCATAAGCAGCACCTCCAGCCTTCAGTCTGATTACTAGTGCACAGACCTGGATCAGTGTAAGCAGGAGTCTGATTTGCCTTTTCCTCTTCTATTTTAGGAGGAAAGAATGAAGAAATGTCCCTCCGGATGGACCCATCACATGGGCAGCTGCTACCTCCTGGTAGCGAATCACAAGGTGACCTGGAACACCGCTGCTCGGGCTTGCAGAGAACAGTAAGGGACTTCTTTGAGCAAATGTGTTTGCGGTGCGCTGCTGTTGCCCTCAGTTGAATGCTGCTCTCAAGGCCGAGTTTATTTGGATAAGCCTTGTTGTCACAGCTCCCTGAAAGACAGAACAAGTGCTGGGATTCAGGCCCAGCAGAGGACAGAAATATTATTAGTCTCATAATGTTTCAGGTGGTGATGCTACCTTGTTCACAACCTGAATTCCTGAAGCTGTCCATCTGCAGTGAGGATGCTTTCCTAATGGCAGAGTTAGTTTGAGAAAAGAGAAATAGAGCAAATACATTAATAACAAAAGGAAGGCTAAGGATCACCTCCAGCCCCTACTGGACAGAGGGGGTACGTTAGTCACTAGTGATGAGGACAAGGCTGAGGTCCTTAATGCCTTCTTTGCCCCAGGCTTGAATAATAAGGTTAGTAGTTCCCAGGTGAGCTGGCCTTCGGTGTCTGAGAGCAGGGAGGGAGAGCAAATCAAAGCTCCTGTGATCCAGGAGGAACGGGTCAAGGATCTGCTACTTCGGCTGGATGCCCACAAGTATATGGGGCCTGATGGTATCCACCCGAGAGTCCTGAGAGAGCTGGCGGATGTCATTGCCAAACCCCTGTCCATGATCTTTGGGCAGTCTTGGCTCACTGGGGAAGTTCCGCTGGACTGGAGGCTGGCGGGTGTTACCCCCATTTACAAAAAGGGCGGAAGGAGGATCCGGGGAACTACAGGCCTGTCAGTTTGACCTCGGTGACGGGCAAAGTCATGGAACAGGTTCTCTTGAGTGCTATGAATGAGCACATACAGGTTAACCGGGTGATCAGGCCCAGTCAACATGGGTTTATGAAAGGCAGAACTTGCCAATCAAACCTGATCACCTTCTATGATGGGGTGACCCGCCTGGTTGACGAGGGAAGGGCTGTGGATGTGGTTTTCCTAGACCTCAGTAAAGCCTTTGATGCAGTTTCTCATAGTGTTCTGGTTGAGAAACTGGTAACTGCTGGCCTGGATAGGCTCACCCTCCTTTGGGTTAAAAACCGGCTGGATGTCCGGGCCCAAAGAGTGGTGG